CTGACTAGTTAAAAGAGACTTTGGGCAGGAACTTGGGGAAACCATTAAGACTAGACAAGGAGGAAAGGAGGGAAGTCAGTGCTGGAACATATTTGGATAACAGCCATAGGGGGAGGTATAGAGGGCAATGTGGGCATGAGACAGATTGGCCAGGCAGGGAGGGGGGGGGGGCACTGAGGGGTGGGGAGGGCACTCAGTGCAGGGCTTATCATGTATCTGGGACAGGTGAGGCTGGTGGCTTGGCACAGTCCTTCCTGTTGGCGATGGTATGCAGCTGCACCCAGTGTCCTCGACTCATGGGGCACTTTGTTTAGGCGCCTGGCCAGGGACCACCCCCGCAGGGAGGAGCTGGTGCTGCTAGCCACTGGTGGCCAGCCATGGCTGGCTGTGCCTCGTGTCTGGTCCTGGGGCTGTGCATGTATGTTACTGCATATGAAACTAGTCCCACTTAAATTTGAAAGAGAGAAAATAAGCCTGGCTGGGAAAGAAGCCTGGAAACTCAGGGACTAGCTAAGCAAAGAAACTAGGAGGGGGGATGAGAAGCCTATAAATTGGCAAGTGGACATGGCCTCATGAGAACTAGAATAATCAAGATGAAGAGACAGCGTGAAGACAACAGGATGGACACAGGTTGGTAAGGATCAGGAAAAGGAGTCAAACGTGGGAAAAATGAGTCTGCACCTACTGGAATACAATCCCCTCCAGAGCATGAAACAGAACTCAGGATTCCAAAATCCCACCATTCCCTGATGTCAGTAGATATCAGGTGAAACTCACTAGCAAAGTGTCTTATTTCTCCTCCTTATGGTCCACTTACTACTGCCATCAGTTACTGTATTATAGTGATTCCCAAAGGTTGTACCATGGCATACTAGCATGCCAAGATGTGATGGAAGTGTGCTGCTAAACATCCCTGCACCTGCCCCAGCTACTCCAGCCATGCCTGCAACAGATCTTCTGGGGACTATTGCCACTGCTGCCGACTTCCTCGCCTTCCCTACCCCCAGACCATTCCCATGCCAGACCATCCCCACCAACACTTCCAACAGCGCACTCTGCTGAGAGCAGGCTAGGAGGTGGAAGCACAGAGAGAGCTGCCTGGCTTGTCCCCTCCACTCCTCCATGCTTCCAGAATACAGGCGGGGGCATAGGGTTGGTTGCTGGCGTATCAGACCCTGCAGGAGCAGCTTCAGCAGAAGAAGATGCCCTTTGTCCCTTGAGGTACAGACCAAGGATTGAGAAGGAGCAAACCACAAAAAGAGCAGAGTACAGAGGGGCGAGGTCCTGTTCCCACCATCCTTAATTGGTTCCAGTTAGATCAGTGATTCTTAACTTTTCTAGCCTCAAGGCCCTTCTCCACTGTCTTCTCTGATTTTAGATCCATCTCAACCAGGTGACACTCAATTTAGAAAAGTCACAGAGGTGGTAGTTCTACATGTTATCCCTTGGGGAGCAGGCAAGAGATTTACAGGAGAAGGTGACAAGGCTCTAAACCATTCGCCGCCATGAGGACTTCATCAATTTGATACTAGAGGAGACCTCAAGGACTGTGGAGGAAAGATTGCCAGAAGCAGCACTAGAGAAGGAAAAGGAGGACATGGATTCCCAGAAAGCTGCAAGCTTGTGACCCTCTGACAGCTAGCAGAAGTCTTCATCTTCACTCGCAGTGGTTTGCCTGGGGAACAGATATGGAGGCCTGGCCACACAGAAGGAGGAACACGTTCCATTGGGTGGAAGAGGCTAGGCCAGGCATTTCCAAGGTTGGGAGGATCAAGACCACTGCTACTAAGAGAAAACAACGGGTTGTGGTGGCTGGAGACTCCCTTCTGTGGAGGACAGAGGCATCTATCTGCCTGACCTTTTGTCTCAGGAGGTCTGCTGCTCACCTGGGGCTCAAATCTGAGATGTCATGAAAGGATTACTGAGACTCATCTGGCCCTCTGTCCAGAACTTCATGTTGATCATCAGGGATTCTGGTTTTCTCCGATTTTAAAAAATCCCCAAGTTTTGGTTTAAAACAAGTAAGTCCCAGTCCACATTTTCCACAATTTAAATGAAACATCACTAATGCATAGATATATCTAGATATATCTATACATTAGTGGTGTTTCATTTTAATCATGGACAAATGTGGATTTGGGCTTACTTTTTTTTTTAAACCGAAAATTGGTTTATTTGTTTTTTTTTTAAATCAGAGAAAACCAGGATCCCTGTTGATCATCCACGTGGGCATGAATGATATTGGCAAGGGTGACCCTGAGCAGATCAAACATGACTACAGGGCTCTGGGTGCAAAGGTGAAGGGGACAGGGTCTCAGGTAGAGTTTTCCTCAATCCTTCCAGTCAAGGGGAAGGGCCCAGGTAGGAGACGCATCCTGAAAATCAAAGCATAGTTGTGCAGCTGGCATTGCCAGCAGAGCTTTGGCTTCTTTGACCACAGGTTCTTGTTTCAAAAAGAAAGATTGATTGGAAGAACAGTCACCTGGTGAAGAGAGGGAAGAACATCTTCACAGACAGGCTCACTAACCTAGCGAAGAGGGCTTTAAAGTAGTGGAGTAGAGACCAAAGCCCTGAGGTAAGAGGGAAAAAAAGTAACCCGGAGTTAGCACAAGCAGGAGGGGGCAGAGGAGGCCTTCTAATTCTTCCTGGGAAAAAGGGCAATTGGCTAGTTACCATAGGTGCCTGTACACAAATGCACAGAACCTGTGAAACAGGAAGAACTGAAAGTCCCCGCAGAGTCATGGCACTATGACGTGACTGGCATAATAGAGACTTGGGAGCTTGCATGACTGCAGCACTGTCTTGGATGGGTACAAACTGTTCAGGAAGGACAGGCAGGGAAGAAGAGTAGGAGGAGTTACACTTTATGTTTAAGTATTCTGTGATTGTTCAGAGCTTCAGTATGAAACTGGAGACAGGCCTGCTGCAAGTCTCTGCATTCGGGTGAGAGGGGAGAGTGACCAGGGTGTTGTCATGGTGGGTGTCTGCTATAGACCACCAGATCCAGAGGACGAGGTAAATGAGGCTTTCTTGAAACAGCAAGTGGAAGTTTCCTGATCACAGGCCCTGGTTCTCATGCAGGACCTCAATCACCCCAACATTTGCTGGAACAGCAATACAGCTATGCACAGGCAATCCAGGAAGCAGGGTGGGTGAGCAGGGCAGCTGTCCTGGGCCCCGCACTTTGAGGGGCCCCACAGACAGTGCCATACAGGCCCCGCTGCAGCCACCGCGCGCCCCCCCACCCACCCTCCTGGACCCTGCACACCCCTAGAGACAGCTCTGCCAGGAAGTTTTTGGAGAGTTTTAGGGACAACTTTCCTGGTGCAAGTGCTGGAGAGGCCAACTGGGAGCCATGCTCTTCTTGATCTGCTACTCACAAACAGGGAAGAACTGATAGTGAATACAGTAGTGGATGGCAACTTGGGCAACAGAGACCACAAGATGATTGAGTTCAGGATCCTATGGAAAGGAAGGATGGAAAGCAGCAGAGTAAGGACCCTGGACTTCAGAAAAGCAGAATTTGAACCACCCATGGAACTGATGGGCAGGATCCCCTGGGAAGCCAGGGGGCTGAACTAGATGATGCCCTAAGGTAATCCTTCTAATCCTTTTTTTTTTTTTTTTAATTTTGATTCTAGGATTCTAATCCTTTACTCAAAAAAGATGCATTTGGTATAAATTGTTAACAATATATCTCAGCACTGGTATAACTTCCTCCTGGAGGGAAATGGAATATGTTATAAGTTTGGAACATACATATATGAGATGTATGTATATATTTTTTTCTTTCTGGGTGTAAGAGTTAAGTGTGCCACCAATTTTAACCCAGAAAAAAAAAGTGTGCCGCAGGTATCAAACGTTTGAGAAACACTGCTATATTAGATCAAGTGGTAAAGGTTTGCGAGGTGGATCTAAAGATTCTGACCCTGCTGGTGACAAATGTGGGCATCAATAAGAAGTGGCATGATAGAACATTTGCTTTTTTCCAGAATATTAAAAAACCTTTAAAATTAAACATTTTTTAAAAATTATATTAAACCATACTTTTTAGCAAATTCAAGCACTCTGAAAATACAAAAAAATGAGCAAATACAAAAATGAAGGTTGCTTCTGTAACTTGAATGAACTCTTCCTTAGATTATGACATTGGATTTAGTTAGATGATCACATACTATTTTAACATGAACACATAAAAATAAATATATTAGAAAGGACTTTTTAAGATTCCAAAATCAAACAATAGGAAATCAGCACATAGGAAAACTATGGCCGCCTTTGCAAATTTTTATGCACAGGCAATCATAAATCTAGGATTTGCTGACTTTTGAGTGTTTGATTTTGGATTTAAAATCCTAAAAGTCCTTTAAGTGTGTGCCTGTGTATGTGTGCACATGTGTATGGTTGTGAGAGAGTCTGAGAGAGAGAAAGAAATAATAAAATATGGTAATATAAATAATTCTTCTCCATAGAAAATATTTTTTTTCTAATATATACTCTGAATTAAACTAGCATAACTGAATTCAATAAGATAGCTTTTATTCTCTTCCACTGACATGTCGCCAATAAAGTCTGTCTCTATTCAGAAAATATGTGCGTCAAAAAACTTGTCTTCTCTCTTTCAGTACAGAGCAAAGGTTTTCACTATCTTTCCCTGAACAGTTGCTTCCTGGATACTATATTTGACAAATATATAATATAAAAGAGCTGTCCTATCATGCAAGTGAGTTACAACAATGGTAAACCATATGCCTGGTACACCAGAGCTGATTAAATATTAGCAATAAGCAAGTGCTTCAACATTAAAGGAGTGAATTAATGGATGTCTATGTTATTCATTTCCTTCCAAGTAAACATTAGAGTAAAGGGATGCTGTAGAGTTAAATTCCCAGAGAAGTCATTGCTAGATAGGATGAATTAATTCTATCCTCTAGATGATGTATACTATGCATTTTTCACCATGCTCCTTGCAGATAAAGCTGCCACCCATTCTGACTCACCTCAGCCAGCCGGTCCACCCCGCTTGCAGTTCTTGCCAATGTTACAAGGTCATCTTGCATCTTTTCCACCCATGACTTTATTCTACATAAATAAAAAAAAAAAAAAATAGAGAAAGAGACGTCTCATCAGATCAATGGCAAATAGCTATGAAGATCACAAACACAAATGCAGGCTGACAGATTATCTTTCATGTGGTAGACTGATGCTGAAGTCCCCTTGATACTGTTGTGAATCTGCTTTAGACATGCTCTCTATTTCCCTATTCACTGTCATAGAAGCTCTCTGCCTAACATATTAGGAAATTGCCTGCAATTATGTAGCACCAAGAAGAAGGCAAAAAATCAAAACATATGGAAATAGTTGTATAGAGCCTTGTCTTTGAATGCTGAAAAATCAGTTGTTTGCCCTCTCAGAATATACCTTAAATATGGGGAAATATGCAGGAAGCTGAACTAATTCTCTTTTTCTAACCTTTTCTGTTATCCTTATAAGACTTCATGGTCATCACTGCATATCCTACTGGACTAGAGTTGATTTCTCAAAACCCATCACCACAACTAACATGATAGCTGCAGCAGAGAGGTCCAATACTAAACATTATTCAGACTGAACTAGTGCCCTATTCACATTTTGATTGTAAACTTCCTTCTGGCAGGGGTGACCTTTTATTCAAGCCTGACTTCCATATAGTTTTCTATAGTGATTGCTCAACTGGCAGCTGTGGAAACATGAATGCTATTCTACTACTATTAATAGTCTAGCTATCCCATAAATTTTAATATATGTATCCTTTCAACAGCCCTGTGATGTATATCCATTCTAGCCATAGGACATTGAAGTGCGGAGGTGTAAAACCTCAGAATCACTGGGAGCTGCATCTGAAGGGCCAGGTTGCTGAGCAGGCAAACTGCTTTGTCAGCCAAGCTAGAAAGGGAAAGGCCTACTCAGCCCACGGGCTTTAAAAGGGAAAAAAATTATGCTCAAGGATGCTCTTCGGCATTGCTCTTCAGCAGGGACAAAGACAGGGACAGAGATGTTTTATTGTATTACCTGTTCCAATTTTTTTAATTCCACAGTGGGGGAGGAAGAAAGGATGAATGGATTTTGGAGACAACCATGGCATCTTTCTGAGAGGGAGGTACATCTTGGGAGGGATAGCAAATCAAGGAAAGGAAATGCTTGAGTTCGAGTGTTGAGAGTAGGAGTGGGTAGAGATAGGAAGGAATGTAGGGGGTGGGAATTGTTCTTTTTTTTATGGAGATATTGAATGAGGGTTGGGAAGAGAAGCTGGGTTGGGCTGCATGCAAGGTAGGGGAGGGACATCTCCTTGGTCAGGGGCAGGAGAACCAAATGGGAGTGGATTGCTTCTAGATATTGCTGATTCGGGATAAGAATTCGTTCTGTGTTATCATTTTAAATCATTTATTCTATTTTTATATTGTTTTGTCTTTTATTGTAAGCCTTCCCAAGCCTTTCTTGTGAAGAGTGACATATCCATCTAACGTGTACATAAATGTAAGTACCAAGAGATCCCCAAATCCACCATTTAAGTTGCCAATGACATTTTCAAGATCACCACTCAGCTGCCAATTACCCCTGTAGGCACTTAACTTTTTGCCATTGAACATGTGGAAATCAATGCAAGTGCCAACACCATCCTATAAATGAGTTGTTTAGAGCCCTAGCTCATACTAAATCCAAGAGCAGGATTTTCAGACTAGGCACAAACTTGGTCTTTGTGGCACTGCCCAATCAAACCAGTGTGCTCAGACCATAAACTAAGCCAGATGTAGTCTGAATAAAAAGGCAGTCTATAAACAATGGTGCATAGATGTTACCAACCCCATAGCCAACGGATCAGAAGTTACACCCTAAGTTAAAATCCCTGTTCTACCTGATTTGGAATAGTTATGCTGCAACTAGTATCAGAAAAGCCATACCTCAGGAGCCAAGTTTTCCTCGTGTATTGTATGGGGCATCAGCACACCTAATGCAGGGCTGAGGATTCCAACTTGTAGGAACTCATATCGTTTTCAGTCCTCTCCCATACTGGCACAAGGTCAGTTGCATATGTCACTATGAGATGTTTTTTTCACTTTTGAAACATTTTTATTATTATTATTCCCAAGGTAGCACTTATAGAAAAAAATGCTGAGGACAGGAAACTTAGTTACAGACTCCTAGGGGATTCTGCTTATTGTATCATTGAGTAATACAAATCAACCAATGTGGCAAAAGGAGACCATCTCATTGCAGTAATTTATTACAATTATTCCTAACTGATTTTTTTTTTTTAGGTTCATAAGCTCAAAGTGAACCTCTGAAAAGAAAGTCTTGGTTCTCTCTATTGTATCTTTATTATTATTGTTAATATGATGATGAAGGGTTTTTACCTTTTTTTAAAAATAATTTAAGTGTATTTCAAAAATGAAAAGTGATAAATCTGGCAGGGATTTGAAGTTTTGGTCAGCCCACTCTATGGTTTTAGAAAATAAAATTTTCGTCTGTTGTTTTTTTCCCCAGCTTCTCCTTTTGATGAACTATTTTGCGTACTTGTCATACTAAAGTGCACTAGCTAGTCTACAACAGTGATTCACAAAACACTACAAATTAGGGCATCACGAAGGCCAGAATCCCAGTTTTGTTTTGGCCCCTTCGCAGAAATCTGTTGGTGTAAAGGGTCAGGTTCTGCTCAGCAGGGAATTCTGCGGGCATGTATCTTGCACCTGTTTCACCATGGCACCTGGCACCAGTCATGCACAGAGGTGTCTGATGAGCTCCCACAGTCTGAGTGGCCAGTATTATACTCCCTTGGGGAACACTGCCAGCTGGCATAATTGTTGCAGTCCCCAAAATTGCTCTATATCTGCAGAGGCCAGGCATATGTCAGTACGGATGCCTTATTTAAGGTGCAGTACTAGCTTCCCTGTGGGTCCCCTCTGCTGCATGAAACAGAAAATCTGCACAAAAGAGAATCTAGGCTGAGGTCTTTAAATCAGGGACTCTCCCATACACACATTATCTAAAATGCTAAACATCTTGGAGAAAGTCAAATGCCATGCAAAATTTCCCCCAGGCCCATTCCCGTACAAGCAAAACAGGCTCCTATGACATCTACTTGTGCGCAGGCAGGAAAGCAACTTCTCAGGTTCAAAAATGAAAAACAGGTCATTTTTAAAGGTCTATTTGGTTGCCTACCCCACAT